TTATCTGTTTTTTTTTTTTTTTGTGATTACTTTGCATCAATAAGGGACAATGCAATCTATGAAAACATATACATAAGCTATATATAACCCACATTTTAACAGTGTTCTAAATGGGCTGTTGTGCACTAACCCAATCAGTGACTCAAGCTGTTTATGTGTGCTGAGTCTGACCTAATAATCTTCAAATTTAACCCATGAATTTATAAGGATTAATGCTGATATTGTCCAAACCCTACTGTGAAACCTTTTAAGGAAGCCTACTTTGTAATTGAAAAATCAGGTCAAACTACAACCTTATTGTATTTTTTATTTTTTTTACTTTTGTGTATTTGTTAATTGGACTAAATAGGGAAGAAAAAGCAGTCAACATACATCGATTCGGTTTAAAAAGCATCCCAGGTGAAATCAATGCCCAGAGTGAGCAAATCTATAATCTAGACAGGGTTGCATCTTTAGAGAAGCGAGATCATTTAGGGAATGTATATGTTAACAAATCCATTAAATCGTTTTTTTAGAGTGAAGTAACCGCAAAAACAGCCAAAAAGCTGTAGAACGTCCACTCCAAATACTGAGCTGTAATCTAGACAGGGTGGCCAATTTAAACAAGCTCAAATATAAGATAATTTAGGGTATTTTTGGTTCCACATATATTTCCATTTGTGTTATTTCATAATATTTATTTAGTTTGATGACTTATGAGAATGAGTAATATCATCCCCATCATCTGAGCCCTTTTAAGCATCACTCTTTTTTAACAAGAAACCTCATGATTATCCTTCAAAACACAAAGGACACACAACCTAATTTTCCCATGAATTGTCTGGACACAATCCAGCTCCTCAGAGAACCCTGATCAATCTCCTCAAGCTCCAAACGGCCATTTTGTTGAGTTGACCATTATTATGCCTTTACAATTCTCTGTCAATTTAAAAAAAGAGACACACGAGGTGCTTTTGTTTTTCTTTATATATACTATATACACTGTTAACCATCTTTGAAGCACATTGTAACAGCAATCACATTCATTCAGATCCTGAAGTGTTCACCCAAAAATGTTCTCTCATTATTTCCTCATTCATGTCATTCCAAACCGTGTAATTTTGCTGTGGAAACACAAAATCAGAATTTTGATTCTTTACGCAACCGTTTTACATATACAGTTCATAGTGACCATAGACTGCAAAGCTTCAACCAAAATTTAAGCCATTATACACTTTTAAAGGGGCCGTCTCCCATTATGCTTTTGTACATTTTTACTTTTCTTTAGTGCGTAATGTTGCTGTTTGAACATGTAAAATGTCTGCAAAGCGTAAAGTCACTCAAAGGCAGTTATTCTCTATATCAGTGTCACTGTTTCTGAACTCCCTGAAACGCCTCCATTGTAGTCTTGAGTTTTCTTCCGGGAACGAACACGTCACAATATTCCTCATTTAAATAATTCCCGCCCAATGCATACTTGAAATGTTGAAACTCAAGGTTATGGTAAGGAGCGGGACATTTCTCGAACATACTCGAAGCGGTTGACCAATCACAACACACTGGTCCGGCTGACCAATCAGAGCTCATTGTGCTTTTCAGAAGGAGGGGCTTCATAGAGACAGGAACTAAACAGAGCGTTACTGACAGACTGGGAAGAGAGGAGCTGCAACAATGGAGAATATGGGGAAAATAATGACTTTTTTGAACATTCAAGCAATCATCTTGCCCTTTTACAAAAATCAAGACTTTGTAAAAGGGCATAACAGGTCCTTTTTAAATCAAAACATCTATGCAATCCTCTCAAATATGTTGCATATTTGCTATTGCCAGCGATTTTTGATGATACTGATGTCCAACAATACATGTGCGAATTATTTTAATTGAGAATGAATGAAGACTCAAGGCTTTTGTACGGCTTCATAAGACTTGGAATATGGCGTGAATAATATGAAATGATAAAACATAAAGCTTTTTTTGAGCTCGGCAGGTCACCATAAACTGTACTTGTATGGAAACAAGTTGTGTAAAGATTCTCCAAAATTCTCAATTCATGTTCCTCAGAAAAACAGGTTTTCAACAACATGGCTTGAGTTAAACTATCCCTTTAAGGCTGGACAGTCCATCCATCCACATACATTTTTAATCACAAGCACACACCACAAAGATAGTTTTCTGGAGAGCCATGCAATATCATCACTACAATAAACCGCAAACAAGAATGAATGAATTCAGTGAAACACGTCTATGGTGAATCCACAGATCAACACGGCAAGCCTAAACATTTGAATGAATGATTTATGTGCTAAGGCCATTTTTAAAACATTAATTGACATTCCTAAACGGGGGCGGAGATGAAATGTTAGTGAAGCAATGTGTCAGAGAAGCTTTTAACTGGGGTTGTGTCTCTGAACTCTGAGCTATAATTAATTCGGGATCACCGACAACTGATTCCAAACACGTAAGCTGTTATGCTTGTGGTCCATTAATGAGGCACTGGATATTTATTACCCTGTTCCAGACAGGCAAATATCTCACATTCAAGGTATTGCCTGAGATATTGTGCTGCCGTTTGGTATTTTACATTCAAATGTACCTGTTGTTACATCTTTCTAGAAGATCCAAGCTTGAAACCACAATGTGATACTCTTGCTGTTCCATGTTCAATAGTAAGTGCATTCACCCAATTCAAGTGAACGCATTATACTTGCACATACCATAAATAGAAGACACCATCAGCAGCATATCGTCGCTGTCGGGCGGAAACCTTGTCCAAAACTAGTACTTTTCAGGAAATGGAAAAAACATGACAAAAGTTTAATTATTTAAAAAATAAAAAGTTGATATTGTGGCTTTATATATATGGTCAGACACTTGCATTTGTCATTAACATTTCACCTAAATCAAGCTCAAATGAAGTTACGAGGTTTTTGACCAGTGAATGTCAGACGTGTGTTTTATCCGTCATCAGAACATCTGCATCTGAGGCAGTAAGTGTATCGCATTACATTTTCATCATCTTACAGGTTATAAGGTTTATTGTAGCTATGTGGACGCTCAGTCATTTGGCCAAAATCTCATGATATAAAAGATGAAGTGCTTCGCACAGGCTTGAAGACAGTATTGGCTGTGACTCACTCACTCAACGACAAATGCTAGACTAGCCCTATTCGGATGGTAATTGTTTCTCATGTGGACGTTTGTTATAATAAATTTGCATGGCACCTCAGTGATAAAGCTCATGCATTCGGATGGCGATTTATTGACGGTGGAGGAACGAGTTTTGTAATCCCGAGAACGCGCTGCTCGCTTGGTCAGTCGCATGATTGTCTGCTGTAAATAAAATGTAATATGCTTGCAATAATATTTTTTAAAATAGGAAGCTAGACGCGCGTACGATATATTTGAAATGGTTTTCTGTTTGGCATTATATCTCAAAAGGATGTAATTTTAAAAATATTGAATTTAGCATAAACAAGTTAATGCAGCCTCTTATTTAGGCTACATGAGGTAAAGATAAAGCTGCTTGGTTTGTATTTTTAATGTTGTGCATAGTAGCCTACATTTTTAAAAATTGTTTCATATATTGCTGCCACAATAACGGCCCGTTTCAAATGTTTACGTGCTTTTTTCTCTTTCTCCTTTTTGTTCGCTGAGGTGGAGCTGTGATGAAATATTGGGTAACGCTTTAAATTACAACCCCGAAAATACTGTTTAATTAAGAGGAATTTACAGAGTAACTTTCAGTAATTATCCTGGGGTAACAACCAGGATAATTAAAAAAATATTTATACTGTAAGTATTATAGAACTAAGGGGTACTTATTTTACTATTATAATACAGCAATCTTACATTTGGAAGCAATTTAGCGAGAACATGCACTGCGTACCTTTTTGTAATAATTGTGTACCAATACATACTGTATAGGCTTTTTTAAAATCACAGGGTACATATCTATGCATTTATAAAGTAATCTTTTTAACAAAAGTGCACTGAAAATGAAAACTATTGCAACTTTTGCTTAAATATTGGGTCAGTATATCACTTGAGTCAGTGATATAAGATTGTGTGTATGCATTTTTATTGTTCTTACCCTGTAACTACATGGAACAAGAGGGTAACAAGCACCACTACATGAAACAAGAGTATCTTTCCCCAATATTTAAGCAAAAGTTGCAATAGTTTTCATTTTCAGTGCACTTTTGTTAAAAAGATTACTTTATAAATGCATAGATATGTACCCTGTAATTTTTAAAAAGCTTATACACAATGTACTGGTTCACCATTATTTCAAAAAGGTACACAGTGTATGTTCTTGCTAAATTGCTCCCAAATGTAAGATTGTTATATCATAATAGTAGAATAAGTACCCCTTAGTTCTATAAAACTTATATATATAAATCATTTTTAATTGGTTGTTACCCCTTTATTCCCCAAACTTAAAATATTGTTCCCATATACTTATATTGTAAGTACTTTACAGGTACACTATAATTACATAAGGTTACGCTGTAAAATCGCTTTAATTACACAGTACTTTCCGGGCTGTAATCTAAAGCGTTACCAAATATTGTTCATGTAAATACTTTCCAGCATTTCAGTAATAAAAGTGTACATCTTTAAAATTCATGCATATTACAGTGAAGTACAACAGTTATCTACGTATGGTGCTCGGCAGTGATCAAAAAGGATTTAAACAGTGAATTTTGAAGTGATCTCTTGTAAACGCAGAGATGTGGATTCGGACGGCAATTAAATTACCACACGACCTTGGTGTTTGTTAAAAACAGTAGGTAATTTGGCTGGGATTTTTACGCGGGTGGTGGGAGAAAAAACACTGATATTCTGGATTCGGATAGCAATAAAAATCACCAACTAACCTATGTAAATGTTGAAAATACCTTCCGACCCCATGAGAAACAATTACCGTCCGAATAAGGCTTAAGACACTCTTCTCCGTTCCTCAAACATGTAAACATTAGCCTTTATATATAGTTTCTTGAGTAAATAAAATGCTGTACTACTCAAACAACCAGTTGTTTATTTACCCTCGCATTGCAAACAAGCAGAGATGGTCTAAAATGTGTTTGGCACTTCATTCTCGATAGAGGTGGGTGGAGTTATGAGGTTTGACTGACAGTTTGAGTTAGGAGGTTTAGTCAAAAGCTCCTTCTAATAATTTTCATTGGTTAAATGTTTGCAAAAACCCACAGTCAGGCGTAAAGGGCGACCAATAGAAATGATTTCCCGTCTGACAGCGACGATATATAGATGTCTGGACACAGAGTGAAAGCTCCATATTTCATGTTCAGCACCTCAAATTGTAACTCTAGCTCACTGAGGTGTTTTGACCCTCTATGCTTGTTGTCCGCTGGGCTGGTCACCGCTTCCCAGGTCCGACTCGGCTTCTCCGCTTGCGCCCCCTCTCCTTGCGGAGAGTCGGTCCAATGATTTAGGAGAAGAGTTGTGATTCCTTCTGCAGAAGCAGCTGGCTATGTCCGCTCGGAACGAGGGTGTGAAGAAACCGTAGATGACCGGATCGCAGCACGTGTTGAGGTTCCCGAAGACGAAGAGGGCGTGATGGACGTATTCCGGCATCAACTGCAGCATTCGAGGCTGGAACCAGTACCAGATGCCGAGCAGGTAGTACGGCGTCCAGCACACCACAAATGATGCCACAATGATGATGGTCATCTTCAGGGTCTTCATCCGTGCCTTCGGGATTATGTCGGTTCCACTGCGTCTCAGACAAGGTTCTCCACCTACAAGAGCAAACATAGGATGGGACATGTGAGGCATGTGCTGTCTGGCCTGCTTTATCATTCTGATCCAGAAACAGTTTTATACATCAAAAATAAAAATTAATCTTTTTTTTTTTTGCTTCATATTTTTGTCTTGATTTTCATTAAAAAATATCTTTTTTTTTCATCTTAAATTAAGATACATTTATTTCAGAAGCAAAATCATTTTATGGTATTATGTCTTGTATTTGAAATATATATATATTCTAAATTAAGTGAGTTTGTGCTTAAACCCTGAGGGGTCAGAAAAAGAAGCTTGAAAACAAGATTATTTTTTACATATGAATTATTTTTCCAAACTGTTTTCAAGATATAAGCAATCATAATGATGTCTGATGGCCTCTAAAGATTACAAACATTTTGCAGAATAAGAGAATTGATATAGTCCGTATATAAATAAGACATCAACAGGTTAAGAAACAATTTGCAGTGTTGGATAACTTGAACTCCTGTTTGAATTGAGGCAGCTGCAGTGATCCATCACACCACATGAAAGACTTAAAAATACTTGTTTCTTTTTAGAAATTTGTAATAAAACTGAATTAATTTAAAAGTTGAAGCCCTAGATAGAATATACAGTAGTGGCCAAAAGTGATGTCCTGAGGAGATATTTATTTTTAATGACCCTACAAATTTGATAAAACCAAAATATTTTTAATAAATTAATTAAAAAATAAATAAAATAAAAACACTAAACTTGGTTAAGCTATTTATCTGACAAAATTATTTGGCAAAGAAGGCAAACTACAGCTACAGGTTTTATTTTACTATATAAAAAAAATACATATAAAAACAAAAAGCTCACAGAAAAAAAGCATACATTGACAACATCATAATCAGTTATTCATATTTTGTTGGTTCTCTCTTGTTTTGGCATGTGTTCATAATTTCTTTGAATGACAGCCTGGCCAAAAATTATGTCCACAGAATTTAGCATGTTTCATTGCGTTATCATCACAAATGAAAACTAGCAATATTCTTACTTTGAATAATCTTTATTCAAATAGTTCTCTCATCAAATTTCCTAGGCCGGACATCACTTGGCCACTACTGTACATCATCAGGGGTTGAGAACCAAGTTTTTCATCAAATTCAGTACATATGAAACTGTGAATTTGGATGCAGTTACGCTGTTTATCAATGACAGATACCATGTCAGAAGAGAGCAAAAGTCAGTCACCTTTACCACGAGGCATCTGCCGGTTGATTTCCACAAGGATTCGAGTATAGCAGAAGCTCATTACCAGCAGAGGGAACACATACAGGGTGATAAAGTGGAACATGTTGTAGGCTGTTTCCTGCCAGCGGTGCTGGAAGCTTCCATGTGTTACACACTGCACAAAGTCAACTTCTTCAGCCTTAATTGCCCTGAAAATAAATAACTGAAACGATAAAAAGCAATTTATAAAGAAAAGTGTCGATGAGAGGAAATTAAAGCACAAGGCATTTTAATGAACACACTAGCATAACACTATTAATATCAACGCAAGAAAAAGCACTGAAGAAACTGAGGGCTTAAATACACAGGGATGGCAATCAACAGAACAACGAACAGGTGAGGGCGAATCGGGAAGACTAGTCACTATGCAGGAACTACTAGTGATCTGGACTATTATTTTAAAGATGTTCCAGATCACTAGTAGTTCCTGCATAGTGACTAGGTACCGCTTGAGTAATTAGTGATGCATTTTATGACTAAATTCAGAGTAAAAAAGATGACTGATTACGTCTCAGACACACGATAATGTTCTTTATAATTTGTCAGTTAATAGTTATTAATGAGGCTAATCTCATTAAGTAATTATTGATTACCTAATAAGGAACTATCACCTAAATTCGAAATTACTGATTAGTTAAGCTTGTTTCTATTAGTTAAAGGGTTAGTTCACCCAAAAATGAAAATTATGTCAGTAATTACTCGCCCTCATGTTGCTCAACCCCGTAAGACCTTCGTTCATCTTCAGAACACAAATTAAGATATTTTTTTATTAAATCTGTGAGCTGGATCACTCCTCCATAGGCTTCTTAAGGGATCGAAACTGACCGGCCCAAAAGTTAATCATAAGTTTATCAAGCGACGAGAATACTTTTTGTGCAGAAAAAACAAACAAAAATAACGACTTTATTCAACTATTAATTTCCTTCTCTGTGGGCCTCGAGATTTCACGTAGTGAAACTGCGCAAAGCTTCTAGGTTGGTACGTCACACGCATCACACACACATGACCAGCGTCGGCCAATAGCAGGGCTGCCAACTCTCACGCATTCAGCGTGAGACTCACGCAATTGAGCCAATACTCACGCTCTCACGCCACACACCCGATTTCTCACGCTGAAGTGTCAACCCGGTCGGTCAAATGCCTGAAAGATAAGTTTATCTATAGATCTACCAGTTGAGCCATTCGTGATCGACTAGTTTTACCGCAAATTAGTTAAAATATCCTGTAATCTAGCGCGAGCGTGCATGCGAGACAGATGTGTTGTTGAGCTCTTAACGGCGCGGTTCTAACCGCGCACGACGGCAGAGAGGTAAGCGAGCGAAAGAGCTTGCGTGTCTTTCGCAACACAACCCCCCCCCCCCGTTGGAGAAGTCTCACGCCAAGCTAACCTCAAAAGTTGGCAGCGTCGGCCAATAGTGAGCCTGCGTGTGACGTACAACCTAGAAGCTTTGCGCAATATCACTACGTGAAATCTCACGGCCCACAGAGAAGGAAATGAATAGTTGAATAAAGTCGTTATTTTTGTTTGTTTTTTGCGCACAAAAAGTATTTTTGTCGCTTGATAAACTTAAGCTGGAGCCACTAGTCACTCGGACTATTTTAACGATGTCTTTCATAACTTTTGGGCCGGTCAGTTTCGACCCCTTAAGAAGCCTATGGAGGAGTGATCCAGCTCTCAGATTTAATCAAAAATATCTTAATTTGTGTTCCGAAGATGAACGAAAGTCTTACGGGGTTGGAGCAACATGAGGGTGAGTAATTACTGACAGAATTTTCATTTTTGGATCAACTAAAACTTTAATAGTAGTAGCTAAAGTGTTAATGTACTACTCATTGGTCCTGCATTACTTCCTGCATAGTTACTCATTAATGACGGACCACTATTCTAAAGTGTTACCAAGAAATGAATTTGCTCCATGTCAGCATTATTTTTCCATGAGACATCTCTATATTCTCCAGCACGGTTGGATTTATCAGGTAGCACACAGTGTGACAGAGGGAAGCCCTTATTTTTCTCTGGAACAGAGAAGTTTCAGAACAGAATACAGGAGCGAGGAGCTAAGATATATTGATATCTACAATTCCCCACCCACTCCGTCTTAATAGTTGTATCTCTTTCGCATTATCCATGGCTGCCTGACTGACCTTGTCTCAGACAGGCTTCTTTATCTCACTTGTAATCATATTAAACGCCATGGTCACATCCACAGGCTGCTAAAAACGACACTACTGGAATTAAGTGTGTGGAGAGAAACAAAGACACACTGACAAGATTCAGTCAGGCATTTTAAAGGTTACAGAAAATGCCCCGGGACTAGTCTAGCTTGACAAATAGGATCTATAATCAATGCAGCAAGTGCTCACTGAAGAGTCACTGATCCAGGGTCAGTTATTGCACCACTTTAAGCTACAACTGATTGCTTAATGAAATGCTCAAGCTTAGATGGCTATCAGGAAAAGTGTGTGGCAGACTGAAAATGCAATTTCCCTAAATACAAACGACATCCACCATTTTAATTTGAAAGATAACTAAACTCGGTTCAGTTTGGCTATGTGCCACTTTTCTTCCACAAAAGGTGAAGTGTGTCATTTTTGCACCACTAACATCTCCAACTGGAATTACACAGCTGTTTTCAAACAGGTTTCCAGAACACTTTGTCCATCTATGATTGGTGGGATAAACAAGTACTTCCACCTTCTCATATTACGAATTGAATCCGTGTTACGTTGCTAGTGGGATACGTTGCATTTTTCTGGGAAATCAAGTTACGAACGGCTTGCTAAAGCTGAAGCACCGAGGCTTTCTTGACTGGACGCTAAAATGTGCATGTTTCAGGTGTATCTTGTGGTCAAAAGGATGAATAAGCTCCTTACAAATTATTATGAACATTAATAGCAAAATTATACTGAACGCCAATAAATAGTAAATGTTTTGTCTTCAAGAAACTAGCAAACAGCTTTGTATCGCTGGTTTTAAATTTGGTTTTACAGCTGATTGTTTAACAACAGTTGTTTTTATTAACTTATCTGAAGTCATTGTCATAGCTATGTCATTTGGGTTTATTGGCACTACAAACTGTATCTAAAATACCTGTATTAATTATAGAAAAGCTGTGTTTTGTCTGTTTTAACCAATACAGTCCGTCAACTATTATTTCAAAGGCAAGGCTCGTGTGGGATATGAATTATGTAACTGGTTATAGTGTAGACTAGAGTAAGAAACATGATTATAGTTGTCTCTTCATATTAAGCTGTAAATTGGACTAAGTATTTTACTGAAAAAAAGACATCACCTTTGTGTTTTCAAACAACAACAACATTATCATCCATCTATAAATCCTTCGAGACAGTTTTGTGCTGCTTCATAACAAGACAAGTCCCACACATGACAACCCCAATTAACATGACATCTTGTTGCCGTACCTGTGGCGAGGCGAGCAGGAGGCTGAGGATCCAGGCAGCCAGCAGCATCTTCTTGTTCCTGCGACCCGCATCCAGAGCTTCTAGTGGGTGGAGGATTGCATGATGCCTGTCCAGACTCACCACCACCAGGATGAATGCTGACGAGTGCATGGCGAAGAGCTTGAGGAAGCAGAGGAGCTTGCACATGGCGTCGCCGGCATACCACTGCACTGTGATATTCCATATGGCGTCGAGTGGCATCACCACAAAAGTCATGACCAGGTCAGCGGAGGCCAGGCTGCCGATGAGAGGTCTCAGGTGTGAGGCCAGACGCCGTCCTCGACCCCGGGTCACGCTGATCAGCACTGAGAGGTTACTGATCGCCGCGAAGACGAAGAGCACCAGGGTGGCCGCCACACGGAAGCGAGCGGCCACTGTGAATGTGGGGGTTTCCCAGTCAGAGAAAAAGCGAGGAAGGGAGGCATTCGGCAGAGAGGAGTTTTCCCAAATGCCCTTCGGACTCGCCGACAGGAGAGACACGTTTACTGACATCCTGGAAAGGGGGGGGGGAAGACGTTTTGATGCACGGTAAAGGATTTTTGTGATGCTCAAATGCAAAATTATTGTACAACGTTTCAGTATCACGTGGTCTCATGTGGATATTAGTGTTGGGCAACATTTAGAATAAAAACAATAGCTCATTTTCAATTCATAAGTTGGAATTTGAATTACATTAGGAATATACTGAATTAAAATTCAGAGAAATTCAACAAGTAATGGCATTCTGGGTAAATAATCTTTGTCCATAAATTTGTTAAATATAAAGAAGTGTACAGTATATGATTCGAAATTTTGGGGTCAGTAAGATTTTTGTAATAAAAAGCAGGCTATCTTATGCTCACCAAGCCTTTATTTAAAACAATAAAAACAGATATATTGTGAAATACTTTTTATAATAAAAAGCACCTGTTTTCTATTGTAATATCTATGCTGAAACACTTCTATGCTATCTATATCTATCTATAAAAGCTGAATTTTCAGCATCATTACTCCAGTCTTCAGCGTCACATGATCCTTCAGAAATCATTCTAATATGATGATTTGATGCTCAAGAAACATTTCTGATCAATGTTGAAAACAATTGTGCTGCTTAATATTTTTGTCAAAACTTTAAAAAAAAACTTTTTTCAAAGGATTTGGGGGTGGGAGCAAATAAGTTATACTTCTTTCCACTCCCTTTCGAGCAACTATTATTATAAGTGTAAATAATATGTGTGTATATATTCATATCTATGTATATGGGAGATAAGCCGTGCTATGTTATTTTTATTTTTTTATTTGTGTGTGTGTGTGTTAATATATATGTATATATTATTTTATTTTATTTTGCTCGAAATAAACTTCAATCAATCAATATTTGATAAATAAAAAGTAAAAAAAAACAGCATTTGTTTGAAGTATAAGCATTCATTTGTAACATTTCAAATGTGTTTACTGTCACTTTTAAATAATTGAATGCATCCGAGAATGATTGTCAAGTAATCATTCACAGTTTTACTTATCTTGACTAGATACTGTAGATAGCTAGCTATATATAGACAGACAGATAGATAGATAGATAGATAGATAGATAGATAGATAGATAGATAGATAGATAGATAGATAGATAGATAGATAGATAGATAGTCAGACTCATCTATTCTTAATTTTGCTCAACTGTAGATTATTGGCATTGCTTTGTGCACTTAACAGAATAATCCTCTCTAAAAATTCAGCAAAATGTTCACCCAGGCATGAATATTCAGATCACCTAGAGACCCTGATTACCATTACATTACTGTCACCACAGAGGCATTTGTCACCCTTATGACTTTTCACCCAAACGTCCATCACCCCCGCAGTCTAACATCCACGGCTTTTACGGCCCGTCTGCCATCTCATCTCTACAGAGATAAGAAACTCTTGCCAGGGGCCTTTTTTCACTCCCGATCTCTTCTGGCAAATAGGGAGACCTTGGTTAAGTGGCATGGAGATAGATTACACCTCAGAGGTTATTTAAAGGTCTATATATAAACCTCTGACACAACTAGCAGAGCTCTGCGCTGAGATTATGCACAGCACAACCAAGTAATTCACAAGTACAGTATGGGGCTGTATTATACTGCCTCGTTCATCATGCTTGCTGATATCTTATTTGGCCACTTGGCACTCTACACCTTTACTTTAATAAAAATGAGTTTAATTATTTCTTATTGAGTGATTACGGGATTAGATAAATGAACATTTACATTCTTGATAACATCATGAAGACTAAAGATGCTTTAATGGTTAGGGGGGTTCCCGCGCTGGCTCTGGTTCTGATATAAATGCCCTATCATGCTGACAAATGGCTGTTGTCAGTATTTCCCTTTGCTCTGAATCTGATAATGTCTTTCGTATAGTCAGGTAAACAGCATGGAGGTGATAGATAGAGAACACTACCTCTGCACCATCTTCCCCTGTCTCCGCACCCTCACACCAAATTGCACAGGGCTCCAGTAATACATCTTACTGGCACTGCAATTGTTCATGCTTGAAAATGAAATATATTCTCTAAAGTTTAACAAGTGTCTTGACCTGGAGAAATGTATTTTTGCCTCTTGCGAAATCAATATGCATTTAAAAAAATCCATTTCATGAAGGATATTTTTTTTTTTTTTGTGATTAATTAAATAAGATTATGTATAGAAATTAGAGCTGTAAATATATGATATCCTTGGCATCGCTGTCATCCTGTTTAAATGATTGCTGGACACCGGCCCACATGGCGGCTTCGCCCTCCTGCCTCTTAATGTTGGTAAACATTATGCAAATATATGCAAGGAAGAGTGTCGGCTATCATAACTCTTTGGAATATAGCATAAGTGCTGTCATGAATATGCAAATCTTAAGGGCTGTTAGAAATGCAGAATCAGAAAACTACCTGACTTTGAATTTCTTACTTTCCTTTTACACACTGAATTGTGTTTTCTTTGGGGGATTCATCATGCAATACTAAAGTTCAATGCTGTTTAGAAAACCAAAAACGCTTCACATCAAAAAAAAACAAAAAAAAAAAAAAAAAACATTTAGGGATCATTGTCATGATAATCTCTGAAACTTGGCATTCGAATTTGCATAATTATATTCATATTCTTCCTCACATGACTAATGACTTGGAGCCAGTTAATTAAGATAGCGGTGATGAGAATATTAAGATTTGATGGCAAATTAACGTGCGAGTGGGGTGATATTTGCAGAGTGGCCAAACAAAAGACTTTAGCTTGTGAATTTAAAATAAAAAGAAATGTATTCTCTCACATTTGGCTATATTGGACATTTTTGTTGGGAGTTTACTTTATCAGAAGTCAGCATAGTCATGCAATGTACAGAAGATTCTGACAAAATATGTCATGAAGCACGTAATAGCATTCGATCATATGCTTCATCAGCTTCACCTGAGCAGGTTTTATTGACTAGTTAATGTATGCTAGGTATTGGTGCGGTAAGAATCCATCTTCATTATATCAATGACAGTTTTTCATGTCTCGCCTCATATCATGAAAACACTTGATACACATCCATGATTCATCAGGAAAGTTTTTGCTGCATTTACAGTACATCAGTTTAAGTGATCCTGAAATCAATTCCAAACTTAAACCTTTTGTCTGTGTCTCCAAACCTAGAGAGCTATCTACCTACAGCATTTCTGGACATCATACTGAAATTGATTATCATGCACTATGATGCCGAGAAATGCTGTTGTTTAGGATTTTAGGTTTTGTCTCCTCGGTAAGCTCGTTACAGTAAAGCTGCTGTAAAATAGAACAGTGATGGAGTTAGACTTACCTGTTTGCTGCAATGTGTGATTTGTAGATGAATCCTTGAATATTTCCCTCAGTTGTTCATATATTAAACCTATGCTGCTGTAGAGGAAATAAGTGCATTTCATTCAGCCGTCCGTTAACATGTCGTGTTGATACGCGGGTAAATGTCCTCCGACCCCCGCGTGAGCTTGACGGCACCATGGACTCCTGTAGGGAACAGTTTGCCGCAGTCAACGGTAATTCACTCATCAGGGTGATAACGATGATCTCCCGCTGCAAAAGTTTGGTTGCTTGACGCTTTAGGATAGTAGGGCACTTTTTAAGAAGCTACATGTTGTCTTAATGGCACTTTTTGCCCAAAAGCCGAGTGTTTAAACGGAGTCGCGGATCTGTCCAGGTGCTGAAGAGTCTCCAAGAGCATCAGTGTCTGTACAGCATCAGCACCAGCAGCCAGCGCTGCTTCACACACACACACACACACACACACACACACACACACACACACACACACACACACACACACACACTCCTCTTCTGCACAACACCCTCCTCAACACACTCACACACAGTGAGGAAACCTCAGCGTCACCATACCGCTGTGCATATTCGTCATATTAACGGAAAACAACGAGAACTATTTTAAAAATCATACAGTATAAAAAATCTGTTAGTTGTTTAACTGTAATTTAGCTTGCCATATGGACGATATAGATCTTATGCGCCAGAGAAACAAGCGCGCAGCCATTTTTGGAATTTTAATTGTCTTTGAACTTCCGTTTTTGAGGTTCCTCTGTAAGAGTAATTAGCTGGTGAAGTGGATTTACTTGTTGTAGAGTTAATAAAAGTTATCATGAGCATTGTAATGTTTGAAGCGGATGTCACAAATGTCAGTGGACAGGGAAGATTTTAAAACGAACGGTTCATTCATAAATAAATTGTAAATTCACAATGGGAAGAATACACTAATTTGGTTAAGGTATTAAAATTACTAAATTATTTGGCAAGAAAGGCAAACTCCACTAAAATATATGGGTTTTATTGTTTTATGCAAAAAAGGCATAGAAAAACAAAAAGCTCACAAAGCATTCACTGACATTAATATTTAGCTGGTTCTCCCTTTTGATTACAGCCATTCTCCTGTGCATTGACTCACTGAACTTTGTGCATGTGTCATGCCTTTTCCCTTCCTTCCTTAAGTTCTTCCCAAAGTTGAGCTTCACTGGAAGACCTGCATAACTTATTCATTTCCCAAAGGGTTTCAATGGCATTAAGGTCTAAGGAGGCCAATTGAAGTCTTCAAAATGCTGAGCATGAACACTTTCATAGCGCACAACTTTGTTGGCTGTGTGTTTGGGATCGCTATCGTGTTGGAAAATACACATTTGATCTCCGAAACAGATCCTCTATACTTGTGTTCAGCAAGATTCGCAAGCATTGGTCCATTTTCAAAGTGCCAGCAACTTTGTAGATCATTCCAACACCTAATGCAATACCATTATGCTTCCCCTGTCGTGCTTAATGGAGCCACGCATGCATTTAGTATTAAACCACTCAGTTGTCTCCTACAAACATACCTGACACCTTCCAATGCTATAATAGGCTGTTCAATTTTGACTTGTTGGACTGCAGAACACGGCTCTAATCTTCCACACTCCAGTCCTTTTTTTCTTTGGCAAATGCAATGTGTTTTTGTTTTTTGGCAGTAGATAAAATTCCTTTACTGATACACAACCTCTCAATCCAGCCTCAACTACAGCCAGTGGCTGTAAAAAATGATCGTGATTTTAACGGTAAAAGACTGTTAATTGGTTAACAGAACCTTTCCTTACTATATACGGTAAATAACTGTGATAGATCTAATGGTACATTTCATGTAATTTTACTGTAAAATACCGTTAAATTTACAGTTTTTGAAAGTGAAAATGAACAACTCATTGTGTAATTTACAGTGAAAAACCGTAAATTGACTTTCCCACAATTCCCTGCGTGACACTTCACATTTTATGTATTTTTGTTGAAATAACTGTTTCTTCATAGTTTGCTTAGTCTTTTTCTAATCAGTTATGCACATTAGGGTTTTATGTGACATTTAATGTTGTTAAATTAATGTTTATTGCCTTTTTAAAATTCCATATGTGTTCCCATGATGGTGTTTAATGTTTGTGTGAATGACACTGTGCAGCTTCTATATATTAATATTAACCTTCTTGTGGAAGACTGTTTATGATGAGCTTTGATTGATCATTTGACTCTCATCACTCCTGTGATTGTTGGCTGTTAGTGTATTACAATGGAACAAAACAGATATTAATACTTCAATAGGTCGGTAAATTAACATTATATCAGATAATGAAATACGGTTTATTTCTGTAAATTTTAAGTTAAGTCTGTAAAACCTTGCTACCGTAAAGTCTTGCTAACTGTATTTTATACAGTAAATTTCTGGCAACCACAGCTGCCGGTATTTTACCGTAAATTGAACAGATTTTTTTTTTATAGTGTACGGTTCGAGATGAAATTGGATGTTATAGATCTCATCCAGGTGTTTAGAAGCTGTTTTGAGGTGATCCCACATTCAGGTGATTTACATCCTTCTGTCAAAATGCTCACTAGTCTTCCTCGACCAGCCACAGCACTTTACATTCTGCATAGCGGTCTCACTGTGCTCTGAAATAATTCTGTGGACACTGTGACCATTCACATCCTGCACATGAGCAATATCCTGAACCAATTGACCAGATTTAGCCATTTTAATAATATCCTCCTTAATTGGTCGTAGAGGACAGCTCTGTTATTTATGAAATTATAGGCTGGGAATAATGAGTGAAACCTTGGTACGACCAATGACGCCCACACAATTCGATGTTTCATTGCTTCATGACAAATTATACAATTGAAATGTGCATACTTTACACTCCTGGCACAACTTCACAACATGCATTTAATAAAAAGTTTGAATGAACCAATTTTCACTTTTGACCACTTTACTGTATAGGAGAATGAATATAGGCTACACAGAATAACTAAGTACAAATACACACAAAATAGCCTACACATTATAATATACAGCGGTTTTAAATGTAGATACATGCCACTGTTGAGGCAATTTACCAAAGTTCAAGATAAGCAAAAAATAATTGGGGGCAAGTAGTTCTAATGGGTCAAAACACTTTCGACTCTCTAATGTGTCTTTGAATTGCTATATATAGAGACCAATTTTGATAAAGTCGTTATGTGGCGTTCCACCGTACCACTTGTATTGTTATCAGTATTATTTTACACTAACAAACAGGTTTGAATAGCTCAGAGTTTGCTATGTTCACATTCAAGCTGTTTTGTTTCAGCATGATAAATTGCATATACAGTAAAACACGATAACTTAAATGCCTTACTGTAAAGCCTGTAACATCAATGTATTTTTACTGTAAGGTCCAGCAGTATTTACAACAATAAGACATTAAGAGATGTATCAAAACAGGCTTTTAGTTTTGCTTTGATTGCATGCACATCATTTTTACTGTGAATAACATATTAACATAATATTACTGTAAACTGTCTGTAAAAAACTAATGAAATAAATGCTTATTATTATGCGAGGCAGAAATAAACCCCCCTTTTTCGTGACTTTCTAACAACAAGGAGTCTCTTGCCATTACCAGTTTATTTCTAACATCATTATTGGATTCTCTGACAGACTGCTATCTAAGCGGGTTTAATGAACAGATGGTTACAGAGTTCTTTTTCCTGCGTTAAATGTTATAAAGGGATTTGTTTTCTTAAACCTCATTTGTATTCACCCTTCTTTTGTATTACACGTGTTAATGGAGGCATTCAAATGCAACAGCCTTTTAAATCTGCCTCATAGACATTTTAATTGAAGAACGTGTTGATGAACTGCTGTCACATCTCTCAGGTTAACTGGTTCAGAGCAGCGCTCATTTTGACAGAGAATTTTGAATTAGTTCAAAGATTAAATGTCGTGCAGGTTGAGGCTTTCACTCCAGTCTTTTTGCTGAGCTGATTAAGTCAATTAATAATTATAATTAAATAAGAAGAAGCCACAGAGTGAATGTAAAGCGTGTTTAATTTGCCAATGTTCCTTTGGTGGAGGACATGGAAAGTTCCTAAGATGTTCATTTTATTATTTGATCCTGTATTTAATAGACTGTCCAAGGTTTCACAATTATAATGTAGTACATTTAAGACATTTAGCTGGAAGATACACTCTTAAGAAAAGGTTCTAGACAGGCACAACCTTTTAGGGGTTCCATCATTTTATGGACTTAGTTTTAATTAATTAATTTTTAATTTTATGCCAATTTTATGAAACATATTTATCAGTAGAAAAAATAGAAATAAGCCGTTAAAATGAAAGTATTATGCAATCATTTAAGAAATTTCTCCTGATTTTTTTTACATAAAGTGTTCTTTAACATTGAGTCAAGAACCCTATATAGAACTGCATTGAACCTTTTTTCTAAGAGTGATATGCTCAATAAATGCAATTCAGAAAGATATGGTTTATGTAGGCTATAACTTGCAAAATATTCACATATTTTGTCTATTGTTGTTCATGCCTCAGATTGAAATGAGAAATCCTGATTATGGGGTCACATATAAATAGAATCTGCAAATTAACTGTTATGTTTATGTCATGGAGCTGCAGAGACATATGAGTTTCCACAAAACAAAACTTCTACGTAAAACAAACAAATATTATATATATTATATTAGTTTTTAATTAATTTTGCACATTTATACTTTCAAATAAAATATTTATAACATTTAATCATGTTTTTATAAAGGAACATTTTTCCAAAGCCAGTGTGTGTGATCGGCGATCTTCCTTTAGGTTGTGCTGCCCTCTGCTGGGAAGATTCCAGTGACAACCAATAAGAATAAATTAATATTCATTCATTTAATAATTTATTTTTATCTCTCTGGATTTTTTTAAGGATAAATAATTTACACTGATTGTGTGTCTGTGTGGGTAAGGAACCATTTTATATTTGAAACAAATCATAATAAGTTATATCTGATAAAAAAGCAATTAATATGTAGCCTATATCATATGTATTTTTTATTTCTTTATATTAATTTTTCAATTTAAAGATCTGTGCTTTATTGCTGAATTGAACTCATTTCATAATTGATGTAGGCCTACTTTGCACTGTTATTGAACCGAACTGAAACTGAAACGTATTTCAACTGAATAATGACTGTTTATAGGCTACTGTCTTTTTAGAGCTGCTTTACGGCAGTTATGAATTCTGTTTGCATCACTGAATCATTATTTTCCTGTTTATCACTGTAAATCTGCTTTGAAACAACCTGTATTGTAGCCTACGCGCTAAATAAAAGTGACTTGACTATTAGTTCATTCCAAATCTACTGCTATATGTATCATTTTTTTCTCTCTGATCACACTTTGACTTTATGGGGTTTAAAAATAAAATGACTGTTTTCTTTATGATTAATCTCGATTATGTTGTCTAGAACACAATGACCTCTTTATTTTATCTCTCTCTTCACCTTAGTATGCATTAAGCTAACCACCCAAGTGTGTGTGTGTG